ACGAATAACCTTACAAAATAACTACGCCCATCGTTAGTCATTCTCCCGTATGCCCAATTTTTAAAAGATTTATGAAGACCTTTGCATTGGTCTCCCCTCCCCCCCACCACCACCACAAGTGGCACTGGGCGTGAGTCAGAGTCTAACTTCGGCTGTCTAGGTCATGCATACTATTCCCTTCTTGCCCCTTCCCTCCCCTCCCTCCCTCCCTCCCTTCTCTCTCTTCCTCTCTCCTGCCTTCTCTTCCTTATTCGTTATCTCCTCTCCCCTCTCACTTACTTTCTTTCCCTCCACTTTCATTCTCCTCCTCTCCCCTCCCTCCTTTCCCTCCCTCCCCCTCCCCCTTCCCTCCCTCCCCCACTCCTCCTCCTCCTACCCTCCTTTCCCTCCCTCCCCCACTCCTCCTCCTCCCCCTACCCTCCTTTCCCTCCCTTCCACTCCCCTCCTCTTCTTCCCTCCCCCCCCCCACACACACTTATTAATCTCCCTGCCTAGGACTCGCACGCTGTGGGGGGGTTGGGGGAGGTCCGGCTATGATATTTTGATTAAGGCGTGATTTTTTTTTTCCTTTTTTTTTCTTTTTTAAGCGTTAGTTTAGGTTATCTGTGGCGAGAGTGAGGGTGAGTGATGATACTGATAGTGATAATAACGACATTACTTCTACTGCTGTTATTAGTCGTAACTACAATAAAAGTGATAATGAAAATAATAGAAAGAATACATCAACAGCATCAATAGTAATAAATTAGATAATGATAATAATAATAATAATAATAATAATAATAATTATTATTATTATTATTATTACTATTATATAACAACAATAATATCAGTAATGACACATAATGATACCGATGATGATAATAACAACGTTTATAATAATAATGATGATGATAACAATAATAGTAATAAAAATGATAAGAAAAGTGATACTTATAATAATTATCATAACTGCAAACTAACAGCAGTTACGGGATCCCTGCCCCTTTCTTTTTTAACTCAACACGTCACCCATTGAGACATGCACAAGCCACGTGCGGTTGTTCCGGGCAATGCGTGTTTTTAAACCGGTCTCTGGCTTGCTACAGGCTTGTCACAGAGTGGCACGGGTTGCTCCGCTGCAATAAGGAAATTCTACATCACTCCTCATGTACGCAACTTTGAATGCCTTACGAATATTTTCGAGATATCGAATATAACACTCAACACCGTTTCATTCTTTACGGGAATTTAGCATTGCATAACCGCAAACCAGTCCGTTCCGTGAGACTATAAATATGACAGGTATCCTATTCATAAACAAGCTCCTCGCCAACACGAATGAACTCGATACAAACCAGAAGGGTGACTGGGGACAGGATGTTTCTCCCACGCATTTTCGGGTCGAGCTTTCACTTATTTGGTTCAAGTCATTGAGTGCGTCGTCCCACGTGTCAACTTGTCATTTGTCAAATTGCACGCATGTAGGGATATTGCGTTTGATGTCAGGCGTGAGTCATGCGTCTGACATCTTAGCATTTGTCAGATGGCGTCGAGGATTATAACCCGGACTCGCGACCTAGCGTCTTTCCAATCTTCTCCTCCTCTTCCTCTTTCTCTTATTCCCTCGTCTTATTGACTGTTTATCTCTTCCTTTTGCTCGTTCGCATTTTTTCGTTTTTTTTCCTTATCTCTCTTCTAACTTTATTCTCTATCATCTAACTTTATGTAAAATTCGTCTCTCCCTCTGTCTCTTCCTTGGTGTTTTATCTCCTCATTCCTTTCCTACTCTCTTTTCTTCTACTTGCTCCTCCTCTTAATTTACCTATTCCTTCTGTTACTACTATTTCTCTTCCACATTCCCTCTTCCTCCTCCTCCCCTTCGCGTCTTCTACTCCACCTCTCCCTCCTCCTCGTTTTTCTCGCTCCCTTTCTCCTCCTCTCATTCATTCTCCTTATCCCTCCTCTTCTCATTCATCCTCCTTGCTCCTCTTCTCTTCTTCCCCATACCCTATTACCCGCTCCTTCCCCTCCCTCCTCCTCTTCCTCCCCTCCACTCCCTCCCTTTCCCTCCACTTCCTCTTCCTCCCCTCCCTCCCTCCCCCTCCCCTTCCCTCCACTTCCTCTTCCTCCCCTCCCCTTCCCTCCACTTCCTCCCCTCCCTCCACTACCCTCCACTTCCACCTTCCAATCCCCTCCCCTCCTTCCCGCACCCTCCCTCGTTCGCATACTACGAGCGTCCCCCCTCCTCCCTCCCTGAACCCCTCCACTTCCCTCCACTTCCCTTTTCCTCCCCTCCCTCCCTCCCCTCCACTTCCACCCTTCCCTCCCTCCCCCACCCCTTCCCCCCTCCCCCTCCCCTTCCCTCCCTCCCCTCCACTTCCTCCCTCCCACCCCTCCACTTCCTCCCACCCTCCCCTCCACTTCACTTCCCTCGTTCGCGTACTCCGAAGCGTCCCCCCTCCCCCCTCCCCCCCTCCCCTCCCCGTCCCATCGGCTCTCCTCCCTGTATCGCCCGTGGTGTGTGTGGCAGAGGCCGTTCCTCCTCCAACATGGCGACTGACAGGCGGAGACCCACGCTGCTCCTCCTAGCTTCCTTCGTGTTTTTTCACGTCGTCTCGCGTTCCTGGGCCAAGGCGGGCGTCGTGGAGCTCGATGAAGACAATTGGCACCAGATGCTCGAGGGGGAATGGATGGTGGAGTTGTGAGTATGGTGGTTTTTGGGGCGATTTTCCCGTCCGGTTCGAGGGGGGCTGGTGGTGTCGCCGTGGGTTGTTTTCCCTTCTCTGGGGTCGTTTTTTGGGTGGTTTCTTGCTCTTGTTTGCTGTTTTTGGGGGAGGATAGGGGGGGTACGTAGCGTCGGCGAGGGCGTGGGTGGGCGTCAAGGGCGTGGTCTCCCTCCCCGGATTTATGGCCTGTGGGTTCCTGTGGGTTCCTGTGGGTGTGGGTGTTGGGAGGAGGTCGAGCTTCCGAGGTGGATTTTTGACCTCTTGGGGGGTTTCTTGGGGTCGGGTTCTGGTGGAAACCGTCGTGGAAACCCTCGTGGAAACCCTCCCTGAGCTTGGGCTTGTAGGCCTATAGCAAGGGGATGGAGAGAAGATGAATAAATCGAGTTACTTATGCTTGTAGAGATTGATTGGTAGTTTTGTTTATGTGTGTGTTTTCCCCCCCCATCTGTTATATCATCACGGAAACTACGGGATATTTTTGTCTGTGTCGTTTTCCGAGGCGTTGGGAAACAAAGCTTGCTCGGAGGAATACCGGTCTTATTTCTTATTCTTATTCTTATTTTTATTCTTATTTCTTATTCTTATTCTTATTTCTTATTCTTATTCTTATTCTTATTCTTATCCGAGACAGAGAGCTTGAACATTAAAACAAGGAGGAGCACTTATTGAACACTTTGACCTTTAGACTCAGGGGATGAAATTTGTTATCTGCAAAAGATAAAAGGTTCTGTCGTGTTACTTTTCCTGTTTCTCTTGATGATTGATGCTTTTATATTGATCCATATGTTTGTTTTTTGCAATTGCACCCAATAGGACAGCATAGATAGAGAGAAGGCTATGGTAGTTGGTTGTGAATAACATATGCATTAGCACTAAAAAGTCAGTAAAAGTCATTGTAAATTTCTAGAACAAGCCTGCATATTGGATCCATCACCTTTGGTACTAATGGATTCCTAGTGATGTCTGCTAACCAAATTTAAGAGTATTAAGAAGTGGCGATATAGAATAATGACAATATGGTGGTCCGTAATTCTTTTCAATATGGGTGCACTCGTGAGAGATTAAGTTCCCGGTTCGATATCACAAAATTTATTCAATAATCTAAGTTACCGTGACTGGGCGTGCCCTTTTGGCGCTATCCGAGGGGAGGGTTGATTAGGGGCGGCCCACCAACCCCCCCCCCCCCTCCTCAGGCAAATATTGTCTTCACCTCACTGTGTATGGCAAGAGAGAGATGAAACTCGGGAGCAAAAACGGACTTAAGCTTTCCACAAGATTTTTCTCTTATTATAGAGTTACTGTTCGCATCTGCAGAATATTTTTGACAAAATCTTTGGTCCTCTACAAGAATAATATCTTCATTTTGTCCCAACATAGTGTGTCCATACTGTAAAAATTAACTAGCTAAATTAAAAGTTAGGACCGCACTGGCTAAGGAGAAATGGCGAATGGCAGAGCGCCTGCCTAAAGAAATATAGCAATTGATAGGGGATCTGGCAGTAAAGCCCAAAGATTAGGAAGGTTTTTTTCCAGTTTCATACAGCCATATGGTCCAAGGTAGACTTTTGCCTTTAATGGATAGAAAGACAAAATTCAAGGCGTTTCTGATCTGTGTTAACGCCATATATAATAAAAAAAAAAGTCGTAGGAAGTGCCACTTATAACTTAAATCCACCCGGTACGGCTGTTTTAGAAAATATTTGCCGTCAACCCTCCCCACACCCAGTCACGGCTACTTAAATTGTTCAATAAATTTTATAGAGTGGCTTTTGTGGACTTAGTCTCTGGTGAGTGTGTGCATACTGTAAAGAATTACCAAATCTAATAACTGTCATAAAGAGAGAGGAAAAAATTACATACACTGATATATGAAATTGTTCGTTCATGCAGAGAGTAATGTCAGAAATGAAGAAACTATGCGTGAATACTAATCAATCTGGTTGGGTTCTGAGGCAGAGTCAGAATGGGGATTAGGAAGGATTTTAGCCCGAACGGTGATGTTTATGGATTCCAAGGAGTTCCCCCTAAGGTTGTTGGCTAAAGTTATAGAAGCTTATAGTCTGTAAAAGCATAGTACTGAAAATGCACCCTTAGCATAATAGGAAAACTACCGAAGTGAATGGATTTTAAGATGTAGAGATATTCTATAAATTACTAAAGTAATCTGTCTATGTTTGTCAGTCTTCCTGGTGATTTATTGCTATATAGAAATCCGTCAAAGTTCTAATCTTTCAAACATATGTGGTGGAAGTTTGTTGGCCTTTGCAGGAGCACTAAGTGTAGATGCCACTGTGTCCCATCATACAAATGTATTCTGGCTGATCTTATTTTATTTTATAATTCTTATTGCTAATTTTATTATTTTGTTTTTTATCATTATGATTGTTAGTTGTAGTATTAGTGCGGTAAAATTTTGCAACAAAACCACCCTGCAGGTGGAGTCAGCTGTGCAAGGGAATTCACAAGAGCACAGCAATCATAATGTTACCCTGTCCTCTCTTTTCTTCTCTGCTTCTTGTCTTGTGTGTTAAAAGAGGTTTAAGCCCATTTTTGAAGAGCCATTTCTCCTTGGCAAATGCAGCCGGGGTCAAACAAGTACACAACTCTTTAAAGTAGACATGACTGCGAATAACACAAAGATGTTATCCATGCATTAGAGATGAGATGATAATACGTCATACAGTGTCTGCCAATGTAATAGGGTTAAAGTACCTACAGTTGTAAGTCTAATATGATAATAAATATTGGACACTGGCAGACATCACTGAGGCCTCCTTGCTTTGGTGCTTCGGCAAAGGCCAACAGATTTTCACCACATTCTGTAGCCAAGATAATATTTAGGGGACCTCCTTAGTTGATGGTAAATAGGAAGGGAGGTCTACGTATTCTCTTGGTAGATCATGCTTTCAAGATTTGTTGCAAAATGTTGACAGGCATGAAATCTAAAGTGATTTACATGTGGGCCAGTGGGAAGTCATTAGCAACATTGATTAGAAAATTGTTATGGATATCACAGTATCTCTTCCAGTAAAATCTATTGTCATAGCTAAGATGCTGAACCAGTATAAGCTAGCTCTCTCCCTCTCCCTCCCCCCCTTCTTTCTCTCTCTCTCTTTTTCTCTGTCTCCCTCTCTCTTCCCTCTTTTACCTTCTCCCTTCTCTCACTCCCTCTCCCTTCTTTCTCTCTCTCTCTCTCTCTCTCCCTCTCCCTTCTTTCTCTCTCTCTCTCCCTCTCCCTTCTTTCTCTCTCTCTCTCCCTCTCCTTTCTTTCTCTCTCTCTCCCCCTCCTTTCTCTCTCTCTCTCTCTCTCTCTCTCTCTCTCTCTCTCTCTCTCTCTCTCTCTCCCTCTCTCCCTCTCTCCCTCCCTCCCTCCCTCCCTCCCTCCCTCCCTCCCTTTCTCTCTCTCTCCTCCTCCTCCTCCTCCTCCTCCTCCTCCTCCTCCTCCTCCTCCCTTCTCTCTCTCTCCCCTCCCTTCTCTCTCTCTCCCCTCCCTTCTCACTCTCTCCCCTCCCTTCTCTCTCTCTCCCCTCCCTTCTATCTCTCTCCCCTCCCTTCTATCTCTCTCCCCTCCCTTCTATCTCTCTCCCCTCCCTTCTATCTCCCTCTTCCTCCCCCTCTCTCTCTCTCTCTCTCTCTCTCTCTCTCTCTCTCTCTCTCTCTCTCTCTCTCATTCACATGTGCTTGCTCTCCTCTTCCCTCCCACCCCCTCCCCCCCTCACTCTTATATGTGTCCCTTTCCTTCCCTCCCTCCCTATCTCTGACTATCTTATCCCCCCTCCCCCCCGTCCCTTTACTTACATCCTGCTGTGGTATCTCATTCTCAACTCAAGATTTCCTACAGGATGCAGACTCCTGGCACCTTTAGGTTGTTTATCCTGGCTCATCATTCACTCACTCTCCCTGCTATTTGATCATTATGTGCTTATGCTTTGCTCTCTCTCTCTCTCTCTCTCTCTCTCTCTCTCTCTCTCTCTCTCTCTCTCTCTCTCTCTCTCTCTCTCTCTCTCTCTCTCTCATTTTTAGGTTTTGAATGTTGTTGTCTTGTGTCTTTTATTGCCCCTTTTTTTTTATTTGTTTGTTAATGTTGGTTGTTGTGGTGTATTGAAATTTGTTTTATTTCTGGGTTTGGGCAGTTAAGTATTTAGGGATTTACTGTCTGCAGAAATAGACTATTGTACTAGATTTTTTCTTTTTGTCTTTGGTCTTTTACTAGGGATACTCGAAGGTCTTAAAATTTGTAAAGATATGTAGCAACATCAAACACTGCACATCAGCTGTTGTAGACATTAATATGGTACCACAGATGGCCTAGCAGGGTTGTAAAATATTGGCTACAGTGTTTATATTACTTTTTTAAACCATCGATGTTGATTTTAGTGAGGTTCATACTCAGTATATTTTCTGTGTATAAATCTGTTATATATATATATATATATATATATATATATATATATATATATATATATATATATATATATATATGGTATATGGAGCTTTCTCCTCTGTGTGCTCTGTGGTGCAGCAGTAGCAATCTTGTCTAGCAATCTTGCTGACCTGCATTCAAATCCCTCGCCGCTAGGTGGATGGTAACCCCAGCCATTCCTTGCACACAGGAGATAATTTAGAAGGAAATTGAAATGGACAGTATGCCACACCAAGAATATCCATTGTAACAAATAGAATCAAACTAAATTAGATTAAATTAAATTATGATTCGGCTGCTTCTCCTCCCATTCAGTCCTCTCTCTGTATAATTATAAATATACTGCCAGATTTCTTATATTTATTCTTAGAGCATTTTCTGTTGCTGATAACATGCATCTACTAGGATAATTGGCGTAGAGCATGATTGAATTCTGTTAAGGTAGTACTACTAGGAGTATGTGAATGTCTACTATACTCTCTCCAGTCTGAGAGAGAGAGAGAGAGAGAGAGAGAGAGAGAGAGAGAGAGAGAGAGAGAGAGAGAGAGAGAGAGAGAGAGAGAGAGAGAGACTGACTGACTGACTGACTGACTGACTGACTGACAACTCTCCTTGGAAGCTGGTGTATAAAGTGGTGTAGAAGTCAGCAAATTAAAAAAACAACAACAACAACAAAAGAAAAGTTATATATATGATTTTTAAAAGATACAAAACTCATGTAAATATAAATATTGACAGCTGATAAATAAAACATGGTAAATCAAGTACTTCAGTCTGGGATGAGTCCTTTTTTCTTTCTTTCTTGCTTTCCTTCTTCCTTTCTTTCTTTCTTTCTTTCTCTCTTTCTTTCTTTTTCTGAGAGTTAACACTATTGTAAAATCTGATTTTGAAATGACACCAGCAGAAGTAGAGAAGTGAACCATGAAGTCTTAACCCCAAAAGGACATGTTCTATACATATGTGCACAGTTGAGGATAGAGGACGAACTTTACCAGTATACCCACAGATAACCAGAATGTTTCTAAGCTTCATAGTGTAGAAGTTTATTTTATTTATTTATTTATTTATTTATTATATTTTTTATTTTTTTCCTTTCGTTCTTTTGTGTAGTTCACTGGTCAGATTGTTAGACTACTAGAGAGAGATGATACATGAAAAAGAAGACATTGCTCCAGATAGTAAAACTTACATTGAAATATTTCTGCATGATATTCATTTAGCCCATCATGGATTTATTTATTGATTTATTTATCAATCTTTTTTTTCCTTTGACTTATTTTGCTACTTCTTCCACAGCTTTGCCCCTTGGTGCCCTGCCTGCAAAGCCTTGAAGCCCATTTGGCAAGACTTTGCAACCTGGAGCGATGACTTGGGCATCTCCGTGGGACAGGTGGATGTCACAAACTCCCCAGGATTGTCAGGTCGCTTCATGGTCACTGCATTGCCCACAATTTATCAGTGAGTGTGTTTTCCAAATTGCTTTGCATGGATTTTCAACTTGCACTGGTGAAGTTGCGGGTCTTTTTTTTTTTCTTTCTTTCTTTCTTTCTTTTTTGTCTTGATATTAAGTTCTTCATTTGTTTTCCAATTGAATTTGTTACTTTTTGTATAGAAAGCCTTGGTTCTTACATGTTTTATGATTATTATTTTGAGAGGTGAAAAAGATTACTTATCCGGCATTTCTTATTTGGTTGACTAGTTTTAAGAAGTATTGTTATTGTAATTTTTCTCTCTTTCTCTTTCTCTTTCCCTTTCCCTCTTTCTGTTTACTTTCATCTCCTCTCTCCTTCTCCCTTTCTTTTTTTACACTTATTCTTTCTCTCTATATTTGCCTTCATCTCCTCTCTCCTTCTCCCTTTCTTTTTTACACTTATTCTTTCTCTCTTTCTGTTTTCCTTCATCTCCACTCTCCTTCTCCCTTTCTTTTTTAAACTTACTCTCTCTCTCTTTCTGTTTGCCTTCATCTCCTCTCTTCTTCTCCCTTTCCTTTTTTAAACTTACTGTTCCTCTATTTATATTTGCCTTCATCTCCTCTCTCCTTCTCCCTTTCTTTTTTACACTTACTCTTTCTCTCTCCTCTCTCTTCTCACCTCCCACCTCCCACCGTCCACCTCCTTCCATCTAACCTCTCTTCCTATGTAAAATTTTCTTTCATTCATTAGTCTTTTCATTCCGGGAGACAATTTTTCAACCCTCAAACCTCCTCCAGCGTAAAGGATGGAAAGTTCCGACAGTACCGGGGCTCCCGAGACAAGGACGAATTCATGAGCTTTGTGGAGGAGCGGCGATGGCAGGAAGTGGAAGAGGTGCCCGCGTGGAAGTCGCCGGCCTCCTTCCAGATGTCGGTTGTTTCGCAGTTTTTCAAGGTAGGAGGACACGAGCGGTGGGGGAATTTGGAACGTCTGGCTTGGGGGTATTCGGTGAGGCGTATGGGAGCTCAAGCTTGGGATTATTATTATTGGTGGAGGTATACTAGGGAATAGTATGAGGGAGGGGGTTTTGTGGGTTGTATGAGGAGAGTAGAAGGAAATAGATGTGTAGGATGTAAGATATTTACCTTTATGTTGTGGTGAGTAAATAGAATTATAAAGGTAACCATGACAATAATAGGTAATCATTATTTATGATGAGTAAATAAAGTGAATGCAGGGATAGATAAATGATTGAAATACCAAGGGAAATAAATTCAAAAGTAAATTGCCAGAATTTTAGTTTCACATTGGTGCTGGCAGACATAGCTCACAAACCACATTAAGTTTTTCTTCAAATTTGCTGGAACATGACACTACAGTGGTCTTGGGTTTTAAGAATTATTGTTTATTGTAATTTTTCTCTTTCTCTTTCTCTTTCTCTTTCTCTTTCTCTTTCTCTTTCTCTTTCTCTTTCTCTTTCTCTTTCTCTTTCTCTTTCTCTTTCTCTTTCTCTTTCTCTTTCTCTTTCTCTTTCTCTTTCTCTTTCTCTTTCTCTTTCTCTTTCTCTTTCTCTTTCTCTTTCTCTTTCTCTTTCTCTTTCTCTTTCTCTTTCTCTTTCTCTTTCTCTTTCTCTTTCTCTTTCTCTTTCTCTTTCTCTTTCTCTTTCTCTTTCTCTTTCTCTTTCTCTTTCTCTTTCTCTTTCTCTTTCTCTTTCTCTTTCTCTTTCTCTTTCTCTTTCTCTTTCTCTTTCTCTTTCTCTTTCTCTTTCTCTTTCTCTTTCTCTTTCTCTTTCTCTTTCTCTTTCTCTTTCTCTTTCTCTTTCTCTTTCTCTTTCTCTTTCTCTTTCTCTTTCTCTTTCTCTTTCTCTTTCTCTTTCTCTTTCTCTTTCTCTTTCTCTTTCTCTTTCTCTTTCTCTTTCTCTTTCTCTTTCTCTTTCTCTTTCTCTTTCTCTTTCTCTTTCTCTTTCTCTTTCTCTTTCTCTTTCTCTTTCTCTTTCTCTTTCTCTTTCTCTTTCTCTTTCTCTTTCTCTTTCTCTTTCTCTTTCTCTTTCTCTTTCTCTTTCTCTTTCTCTTTCTCTTTCTCTTTCTCTTTCTCTTTCTCTTTCTCTTTCTCTTTCTCTTTCTCTTTCTCTTTCTCTTTCTCTTTCTCTTTCTCTTTCTCTTTCTCTTTCTCTTTCTCTTTCTCTTTCTCTTTCTCTTTCTCTTTCTCTTTCTCTTTCTCTTTCTCTTTCTCTTTCTCTTTCTCTTTCTCTTTCTCTTTCTCTTTCTCTTTCTCTTTCTCTTTCTCTTTCTCTTTCTCTTTCTCTTTCTCTTTCTCTTTCTCTTTCTCTTTCTCTTTCTCTTTCTCTTTCTCTTTCTCTTTCTCTTTCTCTTTCTCTTTCTCTTTCTCTTTCTCTTTCTCTTTCTCTTTCTCTTTCTCTTTCTCTTTCTCTTTCTCTTTCTCTTTCTCTTTCTCTTTCTCTTTCTCTTTCTCTTTCTCTTTCTCTTTCTCTTTCTCTTTCTCTTTCTCTTTCTCTTTCTCTTTCTCTTTCTCTTTCTCTTTCTCTTTCTCTTTCTCTTTCTCTTTCTCTTTCTCTTTCTCTTTCTCTTTCTCTTTCTCTTTCTCTTTCTCTTTCTCTTTCTCTTTCTCTTTCTCTTTCTCTTTCTCTTTCTCTTTCTCTTTCTCTTTCTCTTTCTCTTTCTCTTTCTCTTTCTCTTTCTCTTTCTCTTTCTCTTTCTCTTTCTCTTTCTCTTTCTCTTTCTCTTTCTCTTTCTCTTTCTCTTTCTCTTTCTCTTTCTCTTTCTCTTTCTCTTTCTCTTTCTCTTTCTCTTTCTCTTTCTCTTTCTCTTTCTCTTTCTCTTTCTCTTTCTCTTTCTCTTTCTCTTTCTCTTTCTCTTTCTCTTTCTCTTTCTCTTTCTCTTTCTCTTTCTCTTTCTCTTTCTCTTTCTCTTTCTCTTTCTCTTTCTCTTTCTCTTTCTCTTTCTCTTTCTCTTTCTCTTTCTCTTTCTCTTTCTCTTTCTCTTTCTCTTTCTCTTTCTCTTTCTCTTTCTCTTTCTCTTTCTCTTTCTCTTTCTCTTTCTCTTTCTCTTTCTCTTTCTCTTTCTCTTTCTCTTTCTCTTTCTCTTTCTCTTTCTCTTTCTCTTTCTCTTTCTCTTTCTCTTTCTCTTTCTCTTTCTCTTTCTCTTTCTCTTTCTCTTTCTCTTTCTCTTTCTCTTTCTCTTTCTCTTTCTCTTTCTCTTTCTCTTTCTCTTTCTCTTTCTCTTTCTCTTTCTCTTTCTCTTTCTCTTTCTCTTTCTCTTTCTCTTTCTCTTTCTCTTTCTCTTTCTCTTTCTCTTTCTCTTTCTCTTTCTCTTTCTCTTTCTCTTTCTCTTTCTCTTTCTCTTTCTCTTTCTCTTTCTCTTTCTCTTTCTCTTTCTCTTTCTCTTTCTCTTTCTCTTTCTCTTTCTCTTTCTCTTTCTCTTTCTCTTTCTCTTTCTCTTTCTCTTTCTCTTTCTCTTTCTCTTTCTCTTTCTCTTTCTCTTTCTCTTTCTCTTTCTCTTTCTCTTTCTCTTTCTCTTTCTCTTTCTCTTTCTCTTTCTCTTTCTCTTTCTCTTTCTCTTTCTCTTTCTCTTTCTCTTTCTCTTTCTCTTTCTCTTTCTCTTTCTCTTTCTCTTTCTCTTTCTCTTTCTCTTTCTCTTTCTCTTTCTCTTTCTCTTTCTCTTTCTCTTTCTCTTTCTCTTTCTCTTTCTCTTTCTCTTTCTCTTTTCCTCACAATTTTGTTGAAAGATGTTGATGTATCTTGAAAAAAAAGGTTTTATTCACTACCTATCTTATACATGCTTGATTACAGAGTTGGAACTACCATATAGCACTTTTTCACATCACTATGTAGCTCAGTATGGATGAGAATGAATCCCTTTACAATCCAAAAGATACATTTGACTGGTTGTGATTTCATCATTATCAGAAATAAATTCTGACGAAGATTTAGTCAAAACTAATCATATGCATCTGTTGTGCTCTGAAGATACTCATCCTCATTCAGATTTTTCTACATATGTTGCAATGAACATTGTTCAACTCGGTATAGGCTTTCAAAAAAAAGTTTCAACCCCCAGATTGTTAGTATACTAATATTCCTGAATGAATGTTTGAACACAATCTTAGCTATATAGAAATTACTTTCAATGAAGGCAAAGCGCATTAACTATTGAAAAATAAACACGTACTCAGGGACGCACATACAAAAAAAACGCACATACAAAACACAGTGTGTAATTATCTTCTGGATTATGTACTATTGAATTACCCATTTTTTTCTCTCTCTGACGAAGGTGAAAATTAGGCAGGTGACCAGTTGGGTGAGTGAGAGGCATGGCAATAAATGTTTAGTAAATATATGGCACAATAGGTCCTCGAATATGGAACACCTGCAGTAGCTGCCTCACTTTTAAATGTGACTGTATTTTTTTTTAGATGTTGCCTCTCCCTCACTTATATGAGTGTTATTAAAGCACAGCCTAATGTGGGTGTTTGTTTTATAATATATGTACCTAAAGTTTCAGTGTCATTTTATGGTAGTAATTTTTAGATAAGAGAATCATCCTTGATTTTATTTATTTATTTTCATTTTATTTATTTATTTATTATTCATTTATTATTTATTCCGATATATTCTTCATTTTCTTTTCTTTTCTTTTCTTTTCATTTTCATTTTCATTTAACGTGTGTGTCTGTGTTTGTATGTGTGTGAGTGTGCGTGTCTGTTTTTTTTTTTGCATGCGTGCAGTGCGTGTGTTGGGAAGAGGTGTGTGTGTCTTGTGTCTACTTTATGTCAGAGGTTAAGAAGGGATAATAGGATTATTTTGGTTGGTTTTCTTTTTCTTTTTATTAATTTATTAGTTTTTTATTTATTTATTTTCATTCTTTCTGTCTTTCTTTCTTTTCTTTTGCCACAGCTTTTTTCTGACATTCCTTTGATCCAGGATATAGTTGTGAAAATTTTATTTATTTATGATTTTATTGTGAAGCACCATCTCACAAACGCACAAAAAAAAAAAAAAAAAAAAAAAAACTTCATGGGCATTTCACTGCTTCTTTTTATTTCACCGTGATTGCACATTTTGTCACACAACATTAACTTGTGAATCCTGGCGCCTGCATTATAAGCAGGTCAACGTGCAGTTTTCCTTTGCAGGTAATTCAGTATAGAGGAATTTTCTCTCTTCATAAGATAAAGAATTAAAGAAAGCAAGAAAATTATTTATATGTGTGTGTGTAATATATGATATATACACATACATATATACAAATGTGCACAATTCTGGCCATTAGAGTCGTCGGGTTTGCAAAAACTATAGAAATCGAAGTTCAGGTTAATAAAAAATAATTATTGGGAAGTGACCAAATTTTAATATCTGGTGGGGCCTCCTTTGGCTTTCAGGACTGGTTTTGAGGCCGTTTGGAAAGGAAAGAGCAAGATTTTGTGGTATTTCTGGGTTCAAATTGTCCCACACATAGCAGGTGGCTTTCTCCAGCTTAGGGAGCGAGGACACGTCTTGCTCGTGTAGCTGCCCTTTAAAAAAAAAAAAAACTTCATGGGCATTTTCACTTGCGTCTTTTATTTCATGTCACCCGTGATTGCACATTTTGTCACACAACATTAACTTGTGAATCCTGGCGCCTGCATTATAAGCAGGTCAACGTGCAGTTGTCCTTTGCAGGTAATTCAGTATAGAGGAATTTTCTCTCTCATAAGATAAAGAATTAAAGAAAGCAAGAAAATTATTATATGTGTGTGTAATATATGATATATAAACATACATATATACAAATGTGTACAATTCTGGCCATTAGAGTCGTCGGGTTTGCAAAAACTATAGAAATCAAAGTTCAGGTTAATAAAAAAATTATTATTGGGAAGTGACCAAATTTTAATATCTGGTGGGGCCACCTTTGGCTTTCAGGATTGGTTTTGAGGCTGTTTGGAAAGGAAAGAGCAAGATTTTTTGGTATTTTTGGGTTCAAATTGTCCCACACATAGCAGGTGGCTTTCTCCAGCTTAGGGAGCGAGGACACGTCTTGCTCGTGTAGCTGCCCTTTAACGATGCCCCGGAGGTTCTCAATGGAGTTGATGTTGGGGGAGTTACCGGGCCAGTCCTTGAAAAAAAAAAAGTCTATTGACAGTTCTCTAAATGATCAGTGAGCAGTACTAAGTACATCTGGTTTGGGGAGGACAGTGCATTCTTCAACCCCATAGTATTAAAACAGACACATTCCTTCTCTTGCTCTGAGGAATGCTTAAAATGGTTTTGTCTCAGCGCACGTGTTCTAAACCCAAGTGTATCGTGTTGGCACTTCTGCACAGTTTGGTCACAAACCTCCCATTATAATTGGGGGTTAGATTCCTTGAGAAACCTAGCAGTGAGTAGGATTCCCTTCCATTTGCCTCTAGATGAAGCTCTCAGTCCTGGGTGTGATTTTATCTTGGTTTACGGAGGCAAGGAGGAGGAGGAGGAGGAGGAGGAGGAGGAGGAGGAGGAGGAGGAGGAGGAGGAGGAGGAGGAGGAGGAGGAGGAGGAGGAGGAGGAGGAGGCAACATCCCTCCCCTCTCTCTCAACAAAGCTCTCTGACCCATCCTTGAATAGTCCTCTTATAAATAGCGACAGCTTTAGCAATTTTTGTTCCTTCGTCTGCCATGTGCAAACCAGGAATTAGATCTATTTCTGGTCAGAGAGTGTTTTTTTTTTTTTTTTTCTTGCAGTAAATCACAAACACCACAAAAATACAGATGGTGTTATGAGAAAGTCCAAAAGGAATCAGTTTCTGTATTTCGAAGTACAACAATTTTAGGGAAATTTAGCAAAGATGCCAGACAACACTACTGAACTGTCCAACATTTAGACCTCAATTTATGTATAGCCTACCAAACTTGGACAGTGGTGTTGTCATCAGTTACCTTGTTTGAGACTGTATGTATGTATGTGTATATGAATATATATACACTTTATGAATATGTATTTCGTCAAAAAAAATTGTCTAACCCACGGTATTATTTCCTTTCTTTCTTGGCAACAGGATACAATTTTTGTATTTTATATTTGATATGTTTATTGTTAATATTTTCAAATTGCAAATGCAAGGTTTTATATCACACTGCCAATACCAGGCCTATTCTTGTAATTGCCAAACTATTAATTCTAATAAAAATAATTCTTATAGGATTATTATAAGGCATTTTTTCATTTCAAGTTTTCATAACAAAGTTGTGTACTGGTGTGTTGTACGTACACTTAACATTCTAACCCAGCATACTTCTTCTTTCAGCTCTCCATGGTTCTCCGAGGAGTTCATTCAGTCCTAGTGGAAGACTATGGACTCCCAACATGGGGGTCGTACCTCGTCTTTGCCCTCGCCACCATCTTGGTCGGTGCCTTGCTCGGCTTGGTAAGTACAAGGGGAGATTGTGACGATCATTTCCGTTACTACTACATGATTCATTGATATTTTTTAGGGTAATTATCTTGCAAAGAAATATGTGAAAAGCATGAACTACTAAATGGTGCTTGCAGAACATGTCCATTGTGAATAAAGAATAATAACCCATTTGCCACATGTGGCAAGAATAGATGCCATACCCACTTTGAAACACGTTTATTTATTATATTTACACATAGATGGCTCCACAAATTCTTAATCACCAAATAGCCAGTTATCAAGAACTACCTATTTCACCTGTTTACCCTTTTCCTTCACTTTAGGAAAGAGATTTTCGTATCATTTCATTGTCTAAAATATTCTAATGGCTATTTGATAATCATAACATCAGTAACAATAATAACAATATCAATAGCAATGCTATTAATTTTTCCGCCAATTCAATGAATGGGAAAATCAGGATCGGTAACTAGGGCCTACTGATAGACTCCTTGCCCGCTGAGGACATGTGGAGCCATCTGTATGTAACAAAATTCACCAAAAACTACAGAGGACAGAACATAAATCCGGGGCGAATGGGTTAACTAAGTGTAATATCTAGGAATAGTAATCAAGGTTGTGTGACAAGTTCATTATCTTTTGCAATAGATTTGGTAGTCCTCCCTGGAATATTATAAGGAAAATTAAACAGTGGTAAGAAGTAGCTCCTGTGCAACAGTGTCAGGCCTTTTGGCTCTCATGGAGACCTATTTACCTAAACATGATAGTCACCTCAATGAATAAAAGAATGGAATTACTTATTCCATAGATATGGTTACACTCGTTATTATGTTTACATTTATCCAGTATCCGATGTGGTAAGCATATTGTAAAACTGGTGGTAAAATACCAAAGAACTTTTTCTCTATTGGGACTTGCTGTTAGCAACTTTTATTTGTAATTTTATAATGGAAAAGTTATTTATTAATGTCTTAAACTACAGGTGAATGACACAAAATAACATTCACATCTGTATTAGCAAAATTAATCATAAATTAATTATTCAAAAAAGGTCAGTTACATATCTACTAATAACTCTGAAAAACAGTATTTCCTCCTGTCATTAAGAACAAAACATGGCAGTTGAGTGCAGCTTACAAATATATTTTGAAGATTTAAATGCTCCATTTTGTTGAAGGATTTATATTGAACACTTAAGTAATATGATAGTTAAGTCATTATAGATAAGAGGCATCTAGAATCACAATGGCAATTTGGCCATTTTCAGGTTTCTACTGAGAGGCTATAGTATATGTATATATATATAAGCTCTTAGAAAAAAATAAAAGTTAATCCATCAGTGATAGTATTAGCAATCTTTTGCATCATAGACTAGTGATTTCTGGCAACTGTCCTGCCGCTGGGAGCGGGAGTCCGCTACTTCTGGCGGAACTTTTGTCACCCCGCGTATAGCCATACCTGACAGATATCTCTCTATCTTCTCTTCTTCTTCTTCTTTTTTTGCCATATAATCATATTGATATATAATACATTAGGTTTTAACCCAATCTGATGGGCCAAGTGTATTGGTGTCATAACAAACAGTTTGGTCTGCAGGGTAAGCCTATATGCACAGTGACGCGCCAGAGCACTTGGAGCAGGATGTTCGGTTTGATGTAGCGGACTCCCGTGCTCAGAGTTTAAAATTGTCAGGGATTTTTTTCACCCATAAGCATTGGATCATTCATACACTAACTTTAAGTGCAATAATTTCAAAACTGTCACTTGGCAACATCACTCTCCTGACTCTAGATGCCTCATTTACCCACTTGTATAATTAGTAAATAATAATCAATGATAAGCCTGTAAAAATAGACATGAGTGTTGTGTATCTTTATTATAATTTTTAGAGATCTGCATACTAAAGTGGGTTATCAGTGCCTTATTATTTTGCTATATTATGGCATAATTTTGTATCAAGATATTTGTTAAAAGTCTGCATCATGGAAAAATATTTCATACTGCAACATAGATAAGCAACACCATGAGATCTTAGAAAAATAGAAGTATAGAGATATCAATACATATTGTGGACATGTACTTGTGCTGTCATCAGTCACCATGGTAATCAGTGCTGACAGATAAAGGTTTTGATTTCACCATTTCTTTTTCTTTGGTGCTTCTCTATGTTAAACCCTCTGTAGAAAGGAGTCTAAAGTCTAGTTATTGGCAAAAGATTATCAGCAGATTAGGAAATACTTCTGGAACCTGATCTTGGAGAATACTAATAGATACAAGTAAATGTGATCACTGTTGATTAGAAATAGAAACGCATAAACCTCGTCTCTTCTCCACAGATCCTGGTGTGTATCATCGATTTTGTGTTCCCTCCCAAGGCACCAGGCCCAGCTCCGGTTGTCACTTCAGCTGGTCTTAAAGCAGATGATGATGTAAGTGATAAACTGTTCAAGATTTTCTGGTAATGACAGGGTTAATGTCATTAGGATCAATAAGGGTACGCATGAATGCTCCTGGGAATATAAACACAATAATTCATACACAAAGATAAAAAGAAACACTGCCACAATAACTGAAAATGAGTGTAATATTTCAAACTTGCCAAAAGTTCCTCATCAGACAAAACAGAAACTGAAATTCTCAAAATATTACATTCATTTTCAGTTCATATTGTGGAACTGTTTCTTTTCTTTTTCATATAGTTCATATATGGGCATCTTTGGGCTCAAGGGGTATTGGGCTTACCAGAAATATCTATAGAAGTTCTATCTTTTAATGTATCAGTGCTTAAATGCCACGTTGTTACTATAGTCAGTTATCACATTATTATCCCAAAGTTACTATATCATACTATGCTTTTGTAGGGATTGGAAGTCCCAGCCTTTGGATATTAGTTTGCCATGATTTATTACATTATTCTTAGATAGTGTCATATGAAGGAAAATGATCTAACCTAGATAAAACACACTTATGTAAATGGAGGGATTTTCTTGAGGAAAACTTCACACCTTCAGAAATTTTTTACCTTGATTTTCTTTTATAGGAGGAAGATTTAGTAGAGGATACTAAAGCAAAGAGTGAAGATGCTGAGGAGGAGTCGCAAGGACAAGAAGAAAGTGATGATAAAGAGGAAAGAAAGAAAGCAGGTAGTGGAGATGAAAATGAAGATGTAGAAGAGGATGAGGAGGAGGAGGAGGGAGAGGAGGAGCAGAAAGACAATGAGGAAGAAGAAAAGAAGGAAGAAGAGGAGGAGGAGGAGGAGGAGGACTCTCAAGCTGAAGAAGACAAAGAATCAGGAAGCCCCAAAACCTCTCCAGAAGTGAGGCGGCGACGGCCAAGGAAA